CGGGTCCGGGCTGGGGATTCGAACCCACCACCTTAGGTGTACGTGGCTGGCGCCTTAGCCGGTTGAGCTATAGGCGCCGAGCCCACATTTTTGTTTTTAAAGAATATTATAGGGGTACACATGTTTTGGTTACATAGTTTGCTTTTGTATATATTAAGTCAAGGTTATAAGTGTGCCCTTCAACCAGAAATTGTGTGCTGTACCTGTTAAGTGTGAATTTACCCATCTCCTCCAAAGGCAGCAGATGCTGGCAAGGATGCGGAGAGAACAAGTCATATTCTTAGATCTGATTGTGATCAGAATAACCCCAGTCCCTGACCTGAAAATTGTGGGGCAGTCTCCTAACTGAGGAAATTACCTTGGCTCTGGGAGTGTCTTTTCCAAAAAGGAATTGCATCTCCCATGAAGATTCTTGTCACAGTCTGATTTATTCTTCCATTAATCAACTTTATGCCTGATTGTGTCCACACCCCCCACTCTGTGTACCTGGGACCAGAGGCATCAGCTGCACACACAGCGGCAGGAGCCATGCTCTAGGCTAAGTGGCTGCACTGCCCTGAAGAGCAAAGGTGAAAGGCAGAGCCCGGGAGCAGACAGCCTACCTGGCACATGGTAGGTAGTCCTCCAGAGGACTGTCCAATGACCAATCCCTTTCCTTATAGCTATGTGAGGGAGAGTCAGCAGCCTGATTCCAGCAATCACTGTCCACCTGGAACAAGGAAGATGCATAATCATAATAAGGGGTCTTGTCTGGAAGATGCAGGAAAACCCAAGTCCAGCAAAAGTGGCCAAAGCACCCCTGTACCTGAGCTCACCTGGGGACCCACCGGATCCCAGCCCAAGATGGTTGTGCTGGGTCTGACTGAGGGTACCATGTGCTCCCTGCAGGCTGGGGTCATCTGAGGCACATGCAAGCAACTTGGGGCTGGGAGAGTGTTTTAGTCCCCCACAGCCCAGTGGGACTGAGAGTTGGTAGGCAGTGGTGCATGTTCCAAGGCCATTCATTCCCTTTCTAGAAGCCCATATTAACCCCAAGCCTGCTAACGGCTGCTTGTTTTCCATTTGAAGGAGGAAGCCTTGGCTGCCCCAAGGCATTCCTCAGTGGATGAATGACTTAGTGTCTATTTTCCAGGAGAAGCTCTTGAGTGTTTAAGTAGTACGCTTGAGTCTTCCACCTGCTGTTCTGGTGTCTGGCCGCCTTGGCAGCCTGCTGTCTGCCCCACGGGGTATCCTCCATGGCCCGTCCATCCCTCTCTCCCTCTGGATTCTGTTGGAGTTTGGCCAGCAGGAGGCACTAGCAGGCGGCTGGGGCAGGAAGGAGGGAGAGGGTCTGTTCTGGTCCTTCCTCCCTGCCTGGTCATCGTGGTAGAGGCTGCCCCTTACCAGGGACCCCCGCCCATGGCAGCTCTCTAGAGCCCAGAGCCTGCATGTGGCCCCCTCCTTCTCAGAGGCAGAGGGTAGTGCCAGGTCCCCATTCTTGCTGGCTCCCTTCAACCTGCCCATGGCTTAGAGATGGTCCTTTATTAAATTCTCCTTAATTATTTACAATTACCCAATTACCTCTGAAAGATACAACAGGCCCCTAAATGGGGCAGGTCAGCTAATCAGCCAAGTTGCAGAAGCTTCCACCAGGCCCTGGAGGGGCATGTGCCCACCCCACCAGGTGTGTGAAGCAGACAGCAGCCTTCCTTCAGCAGGAGGAAGCCCTTTCAGCTGCTGGTGATCAAAACAAGCCTATTTTGATAATCCAAGTCTTTGTTTTTATTTTTATTTATTTATTTTAATTTTTTTTGCAAAAATGGTTTGTATTGAGTCTTTGTTGATAACTATCTAGAAAACATTTTAGGAGATGTCCATGTGGAAACAGTCCAGGGTCCCAGAAGTCCTCACCTGGTTCCCCAACACAGCTGGCCTCTGGTCGGTGCTCTGACTCCTTTGGGAGCATCCTGAGGCCCCTCTCTATCTGGGCTCAACTCAATTGTCCCACAAGAAAGGGGCATGAGAAGCCAGGTCTGGGGGCAAAGTGGGTTGGGACCCACAGAAGCAGGAAGGACCAGAGACTCCTGTCCTCAGAGCCCAGAGACATCTGAGCCCCCCAACCCTCAAGGGGGTACACCCAAGCCTCTGGCTCCCAGTGAGGTACAATGAGGGGCTGTGGGCCTGCCGAGGAGAGGAGACTCACATCCAGAGGGAGACAGGAGCTACCAATGGCCTCTCAGTGCCAGGGCTGGCACCAGCATGAATCCCTCTCCTGACCTCAGCCCTGTGTCCTCTGCTGGAGCCTGTGACAGCAGGGATGTGACACTCAGCACCCAAAGAGAGGCCTTTGCTATTTCCTTGGTTACAAAGGTGGATGCCTCTTCACAATGAGAAATAGCTTAGATGCCGTGTCCATGTGGGACCCTAGTCAGATGTGGGGGGCTCTGTGGAGGCCTGAGCCCCCTCAATCGCACCGTGTGCTGGCGGGAAAGCCTGTCAGGC